CGAATTAGTTGATTTATTGAATTTATATGAAATATTTGATTTATATGAATTAATTGATTTATTAGATTTATATGAATTAATTGATTTATTTGAATTTTTTGGATTAATTGATTTATTGGACATATTTGAAATAATTGATTTAATTTATTTGATATATTCTATTGGGTAGAATAATATGGAATTTCTAGATTAATTAATTGGGCCTAATTGGGTGTGTGAATAGAAATGGGTTAGTAAGCCCATTAGGAATTATTAGGTTTTGAGAAATTGTGAAAGTTTAAGAAGAATAGAAAGAGAGAAAAAGTTAGGAAGGAGAAAAAAAGAAGGCTAGAGGGAAAGAAGAGTGGAGAAGAAAAACCAAGAGAGGGAGCTCAAGAAATCATCCAAAAACTAAAGTAAGGGTGGGTTTTTATATGATTATTGGGGGTTATTTGATAGTGTATAATGGGTAGAAACATGTTTAGGAGTAAACCCCTAATTTTCATGATTTTATAATTGTTAGGTTTTGATGATAATATGTGATAAGTGATTAGTAATTGTGTTTGAAAGTGGTATAGATTGGTGATATTGAGAAACTAGTAAGTTGTCATGCGGTAGCCATAGGAATTAATTCAAATGAAAAAGTAACATTTTTGGAACTTGCTTACTGCAGCGTTTAACTACTTAAATCAAAAGAAAAAGTAATATGTCTTTAATTATTTCTTCATGCATCGCATGATTACTAGGAGCTTGTAGAAAGTGTAATATTGATACTTCATGTACATAGTAGCATATGCTTGTATCCCAAAATGAAATAATGTTACAGTAATCTAAACGAAAAGTGATAATTAGTAACACTTGTTACTATAGTGAGTATGCATACTTGAAGCTACTTGGAGGAGAGGAAAATATAATACTTTTATAAAAGTTTAACTAATGTAGCGTAAAGGCAATGAAACCAAAAGATAGCATTTATAACTTGGTAGCACCTATTACTTCATAAACAGATGAAATTGCATATTTTAATTAATATAGTACGTCTCCCTTTATATCCAATTGAAACTATGGTATATTTTAGAATTAGGAATAGTAATATAGATACTATGAAGCCATACAGTAGTGCCTTATTTAAGCTAATGGATTTGATAGTTGTATATAAGCCAACGAAATTATTGATATCATATAAAAGTGGCACTTATATATTTAAATTAAACAATGTTGGCATTACAATTGATAGCACACACATACTACTAGGTAAAAATCTCCATATACCACTTTATGAATGAGATACTAATGGGATGAATTTATCACAATTGTTCTGTAGCAGTAGCACTTTATGTGTGAAATAAATGTGATACTCATGTTACTTGTTATTGTATCAACATTATGAAACTCAAATAAAAAGTGATGTTTATGACATGTGAATTAGTACTAGCTTGTACCCACTTGGATTTAAAGAAAATATGATAAGATTGCATATCATTAATGCAAATGGCAAATAAAACTAGCTGAAAAATAATATGGCACATTCTTTGAAATTTTGTGAGAACTACATATTTTTCATGACAGTAGCTTGTATTCACATTCTGAGGTAAATTGAAATTGTAATATTGCTCAGTGAATACTGTACGTAGGCACGTAGAAGTAAATTAGAATGAGAGAATTTCTTTAATTGACTATAGTAGTATACATCTTGAAAGAAAATGAAATGTGATTAATTTTAGTTATTAAATATTTAATATTTAACGAATCTTGAATATTTATCGAGTAGTGAATATCTATCCAAACTATTGATGATGGATTAATTATTCTATGTTTAATTAGTGATGTGTGTTTTGTGAATTGAAGTTGAATTGTGTTGATGCTTGTTTTACGTGTATGTGCAAATGTGTAGTAATTCAAGTGTGATGAATTATTGAAGATATGCATGAATATTAAGATTTGAGTATGATCTTAATTGCATATGATTGTTAAATTTGCATATACATAATTTGTGTCAAGAGAAAATGCTTGTTAGTTCCGTGGGAGCTAGTGACTTGTCCCAAACCTAGAGCGGGGTTTGAAAGCTTAGGGAATGGGCTTTTTGTGTGTTATTGGTCTAGGGAACGGACCCGGTTTAAATGTAAAAACCAAAAAATAATAACAAGTGTTGGTACCACATGGCATGAGTTGCATTGAGTCTTGCATTGAGTTTTGCATTGAGTCTCACTATGTATATTTATGTGCTATGAGATTACGTGTGATATGTGGAACTGATAAATTGGTGAATTATGGAGTTGTGTGTATATACTTATGAATAGTATGGTTACTTGAATAATATTGTGTTGATAAAACTTTTGAAGTGTGAGAATAATAGTGATTATGTTTGTATGCCTTAAATTATATATTGTCTTATAATTTCAATAATTATGTGAATTCTCACCCTTCTGTTGGAATGATGTTTTATACGACATCGCTCAGGTACCAAGGAGTAGAGTTGCTTCTAGCGCGATGTAGCTATTGGAGTAGCTTGCTTAGTGTCTTTATTTATGTCGGCTCGAGTTGTGCTCTGATCATGTAACACTGGGATCGTTTCGATTTATGTTTGAGAGATACATGATGTACTCTTCTATATGTCATTATGTTTATTTGAATTATGTGGATATTGACTTTTATGCCTAAGCATTGATTATGAATGAGATGAGTATGAAACTTTCATCATGTCAATTATGATTAAATTAAATTCGCTGCTACATGCTAAGGTGAAAGTTTTTGAAAAACAAGAATTTATATAAGTGTTAATGAGCATGACAGGTATTTGTGTGGTGTTTTGAAATTATATGTGACACCCTTTTGTGAGATGCATGATAATTACTCTGATTATTTATATATATTCCGCGGGGCTTAGAAGGGTGTTACACTCAGCACTCCAAAGGCTTTGAAGTCTCACCAAAATTTTAAAGACATATTATGATCTCTACTCAAACTTCAATCCACTTGCATATGAAGTCTCTGACTATAAATTTTTGTATCAATATGTCAATGTTGCTTGATGTGACAGAAGTACAAAAGCAAATTTACTTTCTGTGTAAAGTATTATACTCTTTGTCAAAGAAGTCTTCCGCATCCCATCATCTCCACCAACTATCGGTTACAAGTGGCACTCTAGTATTGCATATGAGGTGACCTTCATATAATGGATACTTAGAGGATATTTCATCTTCGCCTCCCAACATATCTATTTGCTCATATATAAAAAGGTCTTTGAAGATTGAATAAAAGATTGATACACGCACTGAACATTCATCAGCGCTCACGCTCAGAATACTTATACAGAAAAATAAGAAGTGTTTCTTACACTTATACACTTAGAACAAAAACTCATTGAATATTCTTGGTATGTGTAATACTCGACTTAAACTTGTGTATCTGCTTATTTAAAGCATCTTGCAAACACAAAACTTGTTATTACAACTCTGGTTGTAATCCTCAAGCGACCACATTGGTCAGGCTTTTGAAAAGTCAATAACAGGTAGTTATTGAGGATTAAATCTTCTTAAGCGTTCGGGTAGGTCAATATCTTAAGGAGTCAGTGACCGTCAGATTTCTTAAGCGGCCAAGTGGGTAGACTTTGCTAAGGAATCAATTCGATTGTTGGATTAAGTCTTTTTCTAAGGGAAAATCACTCAGATGGGTGGACTGAAGGTAGTCTTGTTAACGGTAAACCAGGATAAATATCCTTGAGTACTTTAATATTGCTTTCATTGTTTTAAACTTTTATTTTGGATTTTGAAAAACTATTATACTAGAAATCTAATTCAAATCGTTGTTTCTTGTGTTTCTTGAACCTTTCAAATCTTCGTTTCTTGTGTTTCTTGAACCTTCATACTCTGCATCACGGGTTGTATTTATTGCCCTCTACTCCTGACAAACCAATTGCACTTACTGCTTTTTCAGATGTTGATTGGGGTCAGATCCAGTTGACAGAGAGTCTACCTTAGGTTCATACATCTATCTAGACTCAAATTTGGTTTCATAGTGGTGTAAGAAACAAACACTTGTGGCTAGATAAGTACTGATGTTGAGTCTTGAGTCTTGCTAGTACTGCAGTTGAGATATTTTGGATTCAATCACTCCTATTTGAGCTGAAGGTGCTTACACTTCGACCAATCCTTTATTATGATAATCTCAACATTGTAGCTCTGTCACACAATCCTGTGCTTTATGCTAAAATCAAATATATGGAGTTGGATATATTTTTCTCAAGAGAAGAAATTATCAACAAAACCATTGTTGTCAAGCAATTAGCAACTTTGCAGACAGCTGCATTCTCACTAACCCACTATCTTCTCTAAGGTATTTAACTCTTAGTAGTGGACGAAACCACGTTAACCTAAGAGTCACTTTAACAAAGAAGTCTCCTCAGGTTTTATGGAGAAGATATTACAAGAGCAGCTTCTACGAAGACTCCTTAGTTTGTGGGAAAGATATTAGAGAATATTACTGTATTAGAATTTACAAGAGACAGAATCGAAAAAGAGATGGTTAGAGTGAATTGACAATCAATGATGAGCTGGCACTGAGTTAGTTATCTCTTGTAACTAACAACTAGTTCACTTTCAGTTAATCAAAATAACAGAATTTCACAATTCTCTTCTATTTTCAGTTCAGTTATGAAGTCTCCTTCGATTTCTAACAGGCAATGTGCTCAAAGATTTGATATAACTGCAAAAGAATCCCATTCCTTGAAGATTCATAAACTATGTTTTACAGATGTTTTAGTAGTGAAATTTCATTCACTGTCAAGTTTGTATATTATTTGGAGAAAAAATACAATTGAGTTGGAGGTTTACAGCCTCAAAGTATTTTTCTTCTTTCACATTTTTCCTATGATAATCCCTTTCTACTCAGAGATACATCCCCTCTTGCAAACCCAATAAATCAAATGATACATCTAGAAAAAGGGAGGGTATGATTATCGGATATCACGATCCTCACAGAAAACTTGCACATTCATTTAGAGCATGGTGAAGAAATGTTTCTCAAACGGAGATGCCATAGTTGCTAATTTTAGAGACCTCCTTGGCCAAGGAATTCTTTTCTCGCTTTGCTTCAGAAGCAAGTTGGGAAACCTGTAAACCAGAAAATGTAGATCAGCAATATTATTATTATTATAAACCTGTAAACCAGAGAATAATAATAATAATAATTATTATTATTATTATTATTATTATTATTATTGTTATTATTATTATTATTATTATTATTATTATAATAATAATAATAATAATTATTATTATTATTATTATTATTATTATTATTATTGTTATTACTATTATTACTATTATTATTATTTATTTATGCGATTAATTACTATGCACTGACAGTGTAAAAAATTTACACAGTCAATTCATCACCATCATCCGTTTGGATTACTATACAAGTTATTAAAATAAAAGTCAAACTTCTTTTTACATCAAAAGTCTTGATTGTTTTACACTGTCATTGTATTTGAATTAAATCCTTTATTTATTTATTAATGTAACCTTAGACTATATTATTTTATTATTATTATTATTACTATTATTATTATTATTATTATTATTATTATTATTATTATTTATTTATTTATTATGGTAACCTTAGACTCTATATTATTATTATTATTACTATTATTATTTTATTTTTTTTAATTATGGTAACCGTAGACTCTTTATGCTCTGTTGCTTTTCACTTTCTAAATATAGATGAAAGCAGACAAATCAAATCCTGTGATTATAGATTTAAGACTCAACAAAACTAAATGTCTAATTCAGGGAAGCTAGAGAATTAAAAAAATAATCAACAAAACTATTATTTACCATTGTTGAAGTTTGACAAAAATGAAAACAGAAATAATTGAAACTTTTAAAATTATCGATAATAACTAAATAATGGTTTGATTTAAATGACTAAGCACCGACCCTATTTATAGAGAACAATACTTCTAATTAGAGGTGGCAAAATGGATGGATGGGATGGATATGGATTGTTAATGGATGGATCAAAGCAATCCATTAATCCATTAATAATCCACTAAACTCTCTTAATAAAAATCCAATCCAATTCATCCATTAAAAAATAAAATCCATCAAATCCATCCATTAACATATTTTTAATGGATAGATATCCATTCATCCAAAAAATTAATTTAAAAATTCTTAATTATTTTTTAAATTTCATAGAAACATAATTTAAATATTTTGAATTATTTTTTAAATTTTGTAAAAAAACTTAAATTATGAAATTTATAAAATTCTTAACTAATTTAATAAGTGATAACATAATATCCAATGGATTTATAAAATGAGATGGATGGATTGAATCCATCTATATGAGTTAGTGGATGGATTGGATCAAATCTATTAAATTATTTTTTGTCTTATGAATGGATTGGATGGATTGTATAGATATTATCTAAATGGATTTCATTGCCACCTCTACTTCTAATAACTTTTAATGAAAAAACAAGGAAACAAATCATGATAATAACCATGAAATGTGGAAAATAATCTTTAAGAGAAAATTTAAGATACCCTAAGATTAGAAACTGACCCTACAAGGCTACAATATAAATCAAGATACTCTAAGGTAATACAAAAATATTATAAACATATTTTTTTATATTTTAACATTTCCCCTCAAACCTAAGTTTACTATGCTTTAACTTGTTACATTCTTTAAAAGAGAGAAGGGGAAAAAAACTGATTTTACCTGCAAGCATGCCAAACGACAATGATATTTGGACAGAATTTGTCCTATGCTTTTTATTGTAAATGGCGGCACTATCCCATTAGAGAGATCACATGTATGCGGAGCGGCCTTACCATCTAATGCCATGTGCAGCCGCTTGCAGCTGCAAGTGGCGACCAAATCACTATCGAAACGCACTCTTGCAGCACATTAGATTACAATTTGAAATCTTTAAATTACTTTTTTTTAAATCCTTTCCACAAACTTTTAAGGGTCTTTCGGTCATTTAATTTTATTGTAAGTGTCCCTTGGCTCTTCTTCACTCATTCACGAAGACATACAATGGCAAACAGTTTAATCTAAAAGTGCATATTTTCCTCTGCACGAAGGCTGTCTTCATCCCCTGTGCGAACGAAGACACAACTCCCTCTCCCCTTTGTGACACAACTCCCTCTCCCCTTTGTGACGCATTTCTTCATCCCTTACCATACGACTGCAAAGTTCCTGTTATTCTCATATATCCTTTGTTTTCACTAACCACTTCTTGCACTCAAAAACAAATGGCAAATGACAATAGTTAATTACAATTATTAAGTACATTACCTATTTAATATTGTGTATTTTGCTATTTTTAATTTTGAGTATTTATGTATACTGTTGGAGTTTATGTTCAGGTTGTATATTGTGTTTTAGTTTTTGCAATAGCTGCTATCAGCTATACCGCTTTAAAGAATTTCGGGTGAGACTGACAACATAGCTTCGCTTGAAACAATCAATCTAGTGATGAGTGCCAGCGTCTCAACCTTGACGATAATCAGAGGACGGAGTAGAGTCTGTTGTTAGAGAGCCAATTGAGGCAAGGTAGAAAACATACTCAATATAAGAGGAGTTATGAATCCCTGATACACAAAAATAGGAAAAGTATTGGTGTTGCACACATATCTGACACGGATACCCTATGATACTTTCTACTACATGTTCTAGTAGTACCCAAATTGTTTTATGAATGTTACAGAATATGTTTGAGATGCAAACAAGACACTGGGAGCATTAAGTTTTTTAAACTTTTCTTACATGTCTAAATTTTCATAGATTATAATACCTTTTTAAAACATTTAGCCTTTACTTTTTGAAAGAAAAGAAACTCTATCTCTCCCATAAACCTAGGTAGTTAATAGCAAGTTTTTGCCCCACCAACATGCCAGTTCAGTTGTTGGCCGCCACAATGAGGCCAGCGGTGTCGCGCATTAAGGGCAACGATGCCACAGTGGGTTTCAAGGTGGAATGTCAGGGTGCAGGTTGCATCCGTCACAGCACACTAAATCTGCTCCAGTGACTGTGAAGTTTTCTCCCAAATTGAAATTTTTGCAGCAGCAGGTTGTAGGGGCGGTGGCCAAATGTTTTTTCAGGTTTATGATGCGTTTAGGACTGCTAACTAGGCTAAAGGACAAAACAGACATTCAGCCTTAAGACTCGATAAACTAAAAAGCATTAAAAAAAAGTCGGGCCTTGGAGTACCTTAGGCTTTTACACGTGTAATTTGCATCTATATAAGCTTCTTTTTAAATTAAATTTTCTAAAATATATAGACCATGTCATATCTTGAATTTCAAAATTTACTTATTTGTGTTGTATTACATATCCGAGCTTCATAGGATAAGAGTGATTTGGCAGCTGATCAATGAACAACTTGGAACTAGTAGTGAGTCATTTGGCCAAAGACGAGACAAACAAACCCCAAAGATGAGCAAAACCAGACCAAAAAGAAATGTGCATTAACAAGGCAAAAATAGAACAGAATAAAGGAAGTTAAACATGAGGCCTGAAGTCACTAAGACAACTTCAAGAAATCAGATTGGGCAGTTTCTGATGGCAGGGTATTACAGGGTTACTTGCAGGAAAAGTTTTCCAGCGACAGTGGCCGGTGGTTGGTGACTGCAATGGTGGCCAGAGATGGAAGAGATAGCGCTGGGAAAGGGGAAACCATTTGAAAGAAAGAAGAAAAGAAGGTTCAATATAATAAATAATGCATTCTAATCAGTGTTGTAGATGGTGGATGGCGGTCCATGGCAGAGAGCCAAAAGCCACCATACTGGCGGCTTTGCGGCGCCGATATAGCGAATTATGGCGGAAAAACCCGCAATATCGGCCGATATTTGCCATTGGGGTGAGTCCAAAAACCACCATGTATATCCGCCATGGCATCACTATTTGATAACACTGTTGTAAATACAACTATTTCTTTAAGAAACTCTGCAGAACAGCAAGGAGACATGTCATGAAGGACCAAACCAGGCTCTAGACATCATTTTGAAGTTGTGTTTTAGATGATAGGAGAAAAATAATATGAACTTTGAATATTATTGATAATAACTTGATAATAGTTTGATATGATTGACCAAACACAACCTCTATTTATAAGATATAAGACTTCTAATCTTTATTAAATACAGAAACATATCATGGTGATAACTAAGAAACATGGAATATAATTTTAAGAGAAAATCTAAGATACTCTAAGATTATAAAATTTGCATCTATATAAGATAGTTTCTTATTCTGAAGACCATAGATACTTATTAGTCCAAGTTATGGGCGTTCAGAAAAATAGAAGCTACACCTTTTATGATGCTATTTAATGGGTTAAACCTTGAAAATTTTCATCTCGATCTATCGCATCAAATGTCTAATTTCTGGAAGTTAGTGAAACTCAACAAAAACCATAGCTACTCATTATTCCATGTTAGAGGTGTTGAGAAAAATAGAAACTACATCTTTCACGATGTCATTTAATGGGTTAACCCTTGAAAATTTTCATCACGTGATATGCAGCAAAAGAGGATTTGAGATTACACCAACAGTTTACCTGTGACCGAAAGTGAGATGCTTCTCTTTTAGGGAGCTCTCCAAGGATATCTTTTAAACCTAATATACCAAACCAAAAATTAGCCCAGTTATCAAAGCCATAAAGTCCCATAGCCAGCCTATTTCATTGGCCAGCACTATCTTTTCCTACTTATAGAAAATATATTTTGCATACCTCCTGCTTGTCTCTCAATTTTATATGCCGATTGAATCACATTTCGGATTTGCTTTCCTGCTTGTCTGTGGTAAATAGAAATGCAAATTAATCACAATTTTCGATGCATGAATGCAAAATAAAATTTATGGCTTAGCATCTGAAGTTGCAAACCTGAGTTTTGTCCTTCCATGTAAGAATTGTTCTTCTGCATGTAATGCACTCTTCTGAAAACATTAAATAAATAAAAAATGCCATGAATAATGGAATAACAATCAAAGTTCAGGGGCTATCTCCAGCTTATAAAATAAGTCAATTCCACCCAATGGTATAAAAGGCAGCAGTAAACCTACCTCCCTACAACAATCATTAATTGTATCAACATTTCTGTAAAGCAAGTTGAATTGTTCATCGACTCCACAGAGATAGAATATCAATGGATAACTAGTAGATTTAAACATCCCAATTGAACTTTAAAAAGGAACAAGAATTTAAAATTTTTCACAACTCGCAAAAAATTAACCATCTAAATTGTATTTGAATTTGGATGTCAAATTGTGTCAGACTATCATTTCTATAATAAAGCCTGTAGTTGATGGGTCAACTGAGAAGTACAAAACAAGACTAGTAGCCAACAGTTTTACAGAAACCTAAATATATAGCAGACGTATTACTTAGAGACTTCCGCCGCAATGGCAATAAGGAATATAGTGCAATAACATTGTCCCGTACTACCAACTATGGTTGGTACTTGATGCAATTTGATGTATACGGAAAACTTTAGTAGGAAATCTACATGGAGGTACCACACGATATTGTAAAAAAAATATTGTTGCTAATGTTTTTTGCAGGATAAACAAGACATTACATGGATTGAAACTCAACCTAACTAAACATGGTTTGGAAGTTTCACTAAGGTTCACACATTGTTCATTGAACACTCAACTACAGGGGATGTACTGCAATATTGGTATGCGAGTGAAATTGTTAAACTGGAAATGATGGAGAAGCAACAAACCTTGAGTCAATGTTTAGCAAAGAGGTTTGAGACTAAAACTTAGTATTTTTCTAAGAATTGAAGTGGCACACTCAAAAGGAAGGTATTCTTATTCTAAACAAAAATATATCACAAATTTGATCAAGGAAACAGGTAAGACAACTTTGTAAACCGTAAAAATACCCACAGATTCCAGCCTTAAAATGAGTGATGCAGATAACAGTGCAGCAGTGGATAAGAAGATGTATCAACGATTGGTTGGGAAATTAATCTATTTGTCACATACACAATACCACAGCATCAGTTTCAAGAGCTCTTTAATTCGGGGAAATCCTTCCTAATAATAATAAGGAAACTTTTTTAACTCCATCTGGATCTTCCTAAAATGCAAGAACATCATCCGGATTCCAGTTGAATTTCCAATCCACTCCCATAAATGGGGATAGTGGTTGGCTAATTGCTTCTACAACTTTGGTATTTTTAAATTTTTCTACCCTAAAAACTACTTGGTAAATACTTAAATATTCTTACAGAAAAAGCTCTAAACTTATTAAATAATAGAATTAATTGATGCTTTAGCCCCCTATTTTGTACTTGATTTGGGATTTTGGCCTCCCTTTTCTAAGTCGACAACTTTGGTCCTTCAATTTCATTTTTTTTTTCCTTTTTGACCAATTGTAAAAGTAGCTTCTAGAGATATATTAGTACGACCAAAACTGCAAGTGAGCCTAAAAATTATCGTAAGTAAATGAAATACTTCAAAAATACTTGGTGAATAAAGAGGTAAAACCCTTGATGAGAGTAAAAAGGATAAAAATTGAAATTAAAGGATGGAATTTAGGTGGGTATGATTCAAAGTTATGCATAAAAACTGCAAGCGAGCCTAAAACTTAAGTAAATGAAATACTTCAAAAATACTTGGTGAGTAAAGAGGTAAAACCCTTGATGAGAGTGAAACGGATAAAATTGAAATTAAAGGATGGAATTTAGGTGGGTATGATTCAAAGTTGGAGGCATTTTGCATAAACCCTGAAAAAGCCACCTGAAAGCTCCTCCCATGTACTTTTTCTAGAGCTCTTTTTTTATATTTTTACGAAATTTGGTATGCTGCAAAGGGTATGGGGGGCCATAGTTGAGATTTTTTGTCCAACAGTGATACTTTTACTTGCCAAATTTTACAAAACTAAATAAATAAACTTCTATATCATTAAAGAGCTTATATATAAATATAATTGTTTGGTCGTGTTTTTCCTTTTAAGGAGAAGATAACCTAATAAAAGTTGGATCAAGATCACTCAGTTTCCACGCACAAAATCTATAAATAAGGAGCTAAGGAATACCCTATCCCTGTCTGATACTGTAGAAATTGGAAATCTACAGTCTTACTATTTCCCTAATGGTTAACTCAACCATGTCTTTCCTTGTGAAAGGGTGAGCCACAACTATAAACAAAGCATATTTTGCCAGTCTATGTACCCCCATCATAATATTATCTAAACCCCAAAAGCCTTTGGCAGCCCTCCAATGACATCAATGTATACAATCAAACCTGAGTAGGTAACAAGCTCTCACTCTCCCACTACTCACACATTCCGATAAAAGTGTTGGTACCATGCTCTTCATTGGGAACTCTTAAATGGAGGTCCTGGTATTTGAGTAGGTACCAAGCTCTCACCTTCCGCCACTCTTTTTCCTTCCTTTCATACACAAGTTTTTTTAGGGGTTCTATAAAAATGTAACAGGAGTGTAGAGGAAGTGTGAAGTTTCTGGATTACTCACTCGTCATTGATTAGGATGACGGATATTTTTTAATTTCTATTTGAGTTTTCATCACCATTTATAATCAATACATGATAAGAAATTATATAGGTGGTGTTGTTGAACTAATTCTGATAGTTATTAGTTATAGTAGATTCTACTGGTTATTTGTCAACATGTGAACTACAATTGTCCCTAACAGACTATCTGAACAGATAAACTAGCTATTTGAGTGTGTAATTTAGCACTGGTCATTTAACAAGATATGTTCTAGTCATTCAGAAAAAAAATTTGATCATTATTTCTTATCACAACATCATACTTGCTCATTTTATTCTGTTAGTTCTTTTAAGGATATCGGAAACTTTCAATGCATGAGATAACAGAAGTGTGATAAAATATATAAAACTACTTCAATTAAAGATGAAATGTATTTTACCTCCATCCTTTCAACTTCAGCTTTCAGAAGATCAATTGACTGCCGCAACTCTTTAACTTCAGCATTGGCTTTAGAAACCAAAGCCTGCATCAAAATACAATGTCAGAGCCATACAGGGTGCTATTACGCACCTCCACAGCTCCCCGTGCACTTCTAATATAATCTAATGAAAAATATTAAGAGAATAAAAATCAAGTAAAACAGGTAAAGCTATATGTGGCCATTTCCTGTTGATGTTAAGGGGCTGAGTGGTTTGCATCAGGTTAAAGGGTTACTGGCGTACTGCAGTTGCTTTGCCAGGATTGTGGCAAGCTGGCCAAGACATTAACACAGTTAACAAAGCATGTACCATTGTACTTCTGTTGAGCAAAATACAAGTATTTTTCACGATAATAAACGAAGAGACGATTGAGTTCAATAACTCTCATATTTATTACAAGTTACAACTCAAAACTAAAAGAGATTTTTAACCATACTCATTTCAAATTATGTGAGGCTGAACATTCGCAGATCAAAGTTCTAAGGTCTCCACAATTTCTCCATACAAATGGGAAAACATGTATAGTCTCTAAATTAACAAATGCAGAAATTTATAAATTAATAATTAAGTTCCTTAACCTCTTTTCTTTTATTGTCTTTTCATTCTTTTGAAGATTGTATGACATTTTTTCTTGTTTCCAAATTACAAGTACAACACAGCATATTTAGTAGTTTTACTCCCCGGGACTGATCCAAGACAGTTCCCAGTACACAATAAAACAAGATATACAGATTTGGATACATATACAGTTCATAATTAAGTTAACTGAAAATACTGCACCTTTGACCAGGTTAAATAGACAGAGAAATCAAGTCATCACTAACCTCTTCGCTAACAAAAAGACGCTTAGCATTGGAGTACAAAATCCGACGGGGCCCTGCAGCATAACCAAAATTAAAATAATAATAATAATAATCATTATTGAACCACTTATGGAAGATACAGAATAGGGTCGATAACAGTGGCCCGGTGACAAAAGTAGCAGTATAATATGATAGATGCTATTATGCTATCACCAACTTACTGCATTCAAGGATAATACATACAATGATCTACAAGAGCTCTCTAATTATAATAATGAAACAACAGGAAGGAATTCTGTAACAAAATACAAATATATTTTTAGGGTTAAATTATGTTTAGTTCTTACAAAACCATGAGATTTCAAAGCCCCTATTTAATTCTAATTGAAAGTTTAGACCTCCGTACTATTGTTGTTTGTAAGAATAGTCTCTATTTTGAAAACTTTTTACCAAAAAAAGGATCCTTTAGCCCTCAAATAGACCATATAAAATGCAAATAGGAATCAAAAGTGAATAATCGTTTTTGAAGAACTAAACTTGAAAGCTCGTGATTTTGTAGGGACTAACAAAACCCCAAGCTTTCAAGTTTAGTCCTTACAAAATCATGAGCTTTCAAAGTCCCTATTTAATTCTAACTGAAAGCTTAGACCTCCATGATATTGTTGTTAGTGAGAATAGTCGCTATTTTGAAGACTTTATACGAAAAAATGGATCTTTTAGTCCTCAAAATAATAGCTATAAAATGCAAATAGGAATTAAAAGTGAATAATCTTTTTTGAAGAACTAAACTTGAAAGCTCGTGAGTACAAAATCACGAGCTTTCAATGGTGGATGGCGGTCTATGGCGGAGAGGCAAAATCCTGCCATATCGGCCGCTTTGCGGCACTGTTATTGCGGATTATGGCAGAAAAATCCACATTAGCGGCCAATATTTACCATTGCGGCGAGCCCAAAAACCGCAATGTAAATCCGCCATAGCGGCCATGGCGGGGCAATTTGATAACACTGTTTTGTACAGACTAAAAACATATTTAATCCTACGTTTTATAATCGTAAGTATACAATACCCGATAAAAGTACTAAACATAAACCAAATCTTACTTTTGAGGACCAGAAGCCCCATAGCAGCAGTGGCTCCACAAGTGATTACTGGATGTGAAGCTGCAACATGTACACCCTCTGCAATAGAAGATTAAATAAAAATCATAAACACTACGAACTCGATAAATTGGCAAATGAAGAACCAACAATCTCAAGTAAAAAAAAATTCACAAAATGCAAACCTTTGATTTTTCCAAACAAAATATCCTCATAAGCATTGTACTGCGACTTGAAATCATCCAAATAGTACTGCAATCAATAACACCAACGAAAAATAAACTTATTCAACGAAATTTTTAACATTTTCTGAAGATAGGAAAAACAAGATAAAGCTTGATATCATTGAATAAGATCACGGTGAATCAAGTTCTCGATTTACCAATGTTTGCTGAAAATGAGCTGAAGAGGTTGATCGAATTTGAGAAAAACGAGATGTTGAAGCATCGATTGCAGATTCGACGGCGTCGTTAAAGGTCTTTTGGTAGAAAAGGGCTTCGGCAACAGCGTAGTCGATAAACGGTTTTACATCTAGGGTTTGGGGTTGGGTGGTTGTGATTGTGGGGTGGTTAACAGGGGAAGGAGGTATCTCCGGTTCCGATGATTCCGCCGCCGTGGCCATTGGCTGATGCACTTTCTTTCTTGCCGATGTTAGCTTCTACTTGTTTTGTTCCTTTTTCTTATTTAGTTTTTATTTTCTCGATAATATTTTTAAGGAGTAATCACCATTTATTTTAAAAGTAGATATCGAATTATTTCAAAAATAAGTTTTTTAATTTCCTTCATATTATAGCGTTATCATTTTTATTTATAATCATTTGATTTAAATCTAATTTAAAAATTATAATTATGAAATAAATTATAAAAATTTATTCTCGGAATAAGTGAATTTTATTTATTTATTTATATTTATATATATATATATATATATATATATATATATATATATATATATATATATATATATATATATATATATATATATATATAAAAGTAAAGATCAAATTATTTCAAAAATAAGTTTTTTAATTTACTTCACATTATAGCGTTTAAATTGATTATTATTTTTATTTATAATCATTCGATTAAATCTAATTTAAAGACTATGATTATGGAATAAATTATAAAAATTTACTCTCGGAGTGGGTGGATCTTCAATATATATATATATATATATATATATATATATATATATATATATATATATATATATATATATATATATATATATATATATATATATATATATATATATATATATATATATATATATATATATATATATATATATATATATATATATATATATATATATATATATATATATATATATATATATATATATATATATATATATATATATATATATATATATATATATATATATATATATATATATATATATATATATATATATATATATATATATATATATATATATATATATGAGATTTTAATTAAAAATTATTTCATTCATAATGGTAAAGTAAGAAATTTATAGATATTTTTTTGGTAAAAATGTATTCATAAATAATTAAACATAAAAATTTATATTGTTGAGTGATTAAAAAGTTATAACTTAAAAAAAAAGTTGAGTGCATTGATTCGCAATATAATTCTTCAACACAAATTAACCTATGTATCGATAATAATTTTAAAATTGTGATATAATAGACAAAAATATAAAATGAATAGTTTAAAATTTGATATAAAAAATACAATAGGATAACAAAATTTAAAAAAAAATGAACATTAATAAACATAAAAATAAAAGCTATAAAAAAATTGAAGTGATTATAATTTATATTAAATAATAAAAATAAGAAAATCATTTAAATGCAAAGAACAATTATAATAAATTGATAAAAACAATCAAGAAAAATCATTAAAAAAAACGAAAGAAAATTAATGAATTTAAACTATTAAAATAAAACTGAGGATATTTTAATAAATGTAATAATTTTTTAAATATTATTGTTCAAATTTCTTTCCCTCCTCTCCAAACACAATTTTTCTAAATATTAATGTATTTTGGAGGGGTTTTGCTCTCTCTCCCTTCATAAAATTTATTCAAACACATTTAATTAAAAATATTGTTCTGGACTACGGGCACGCCCCAAAAAAACTCCTCTTCGGGGAGGGCTCAATAAGGCTCAATCCCTCAACCTACACGGAGAACGCTCACGCGTCTTCCCCACGATCTCCACGTGCTCTACATGTGGGGGCACGTTATTAGGCAACTCCCCGCTTTCGAAAGAACAGATCACCCACCTTCCGAAGATCACGGGGTAGTTGACCCGGGACGAAGGTCACGTGTTGGTCTTCCCTACACCACGTAGATCCTAACAATTATCTGTATTGGACCTGAAGATCCAACCTAATACGAATAATCGTTGGCCCAGCGCTGGGGGCATATTATAAATACCCTCTTTCACAAGAGGTCAGGTATTCTAAACTTACTTGCTTCTATACTTGCTCAGTCTCTCCCTTTTCTCCCTTTGACATCGGAGTATCTTGCAGGTACACCTCATTCTCTTCTCCACCACCAACGAACTAGGAGCTCATGACGCGTTGCTGTCTGCTAATCTCTTTCTAGTCCGGTAAGATCAGTGGCGTCGTCTATGGGAAACTTTTGCTTCCCCGTTCTTTCTTCCTCAAAAATCAAAAAACCAAAGCATATCTCAATTTCCATCGATCATGGCCAGCCCACGCGTTGACGATAACCTCCATGAAACTACTTTCACCACCTTCACCAACAGCGACGACCATGATCCTAACATGGTTGTCCTTGTCGAGGAGGGTGACCCCAGGGACGGGCACACCGCATCTCCCTCCTCCAATGATGTGGTCGACAATGTCGCCCAACGATTCGACAGTCTAGCTGTTTTCCAACCCATTCCTGTGTTACCCAACGCCAACCCGGCCATGGTGGCCTTGTTCACGGCGATCAACAAGACAAACCTAATGATGTTCCAACAGAACGAACGGATCGGGATGCTGAAAAAGGAACGACAATCACGCTCTCCCTCACGGAGACATACTCTCCCAGTTTCTCGCAGCCCGTCCCCTAGATGACGAGAATCACGTCCCTTTTCTCCCCCGCGGAGATAGCAACAGGACGAATCTCGAAGCCCCTCACCGCAGCGACTTGGACGTTGTCCACGACTAGAAAAGCCTTAGCATGTGGCGACCCAGAAACGTGATTGCGGTCCTCCCCAGAAAGGGCGACGCTCTCCGGCCCCCAAGAGAAACAAAGTTGACGAGCAGACAGAGAAACTGAAGAGTCGACCGAGGAGCTCTCCACGCTGTGGTAGGAGCCCTCAGTACGACTCTTCCTCATCGCAATCACCAATCAGAAGCGATGAGAACGACCCCCACGATCCCCTGTCCAGGGTCATCGTGGAGACTCACCTTCCCGTCGCACTACAAGAAAAAAAAAGATTTACGACACTTGAGTTGCGACAGTTATCACAAAATCGTCCTTATTCCTGAATTGCGATGGTTGTCACGACAGTTAGGGTCAACTGTCGTAGATTTTTTGCGACAGTTATCGAAAAACCGTCCTTATTCCTGGACTGCGACAGTTCTCATGACAGTTTGAGCCAACCGTCGCAAATTTTTTAGGCATGTTGTATAAAATAATGCGACAGTTACCAAAGAACCGCCTTCTTTCCACACTCGCGATAGTTAAGGCGAACTGTCGCAATTACTTTAGCCAAACATAATCACTATTTTTTTATTCCTTTAATTTTCCACTTTTTTCTTTCATTTTTATTTTCTAACATTTTCAATTTTATAAATTAATTTAATAAATAATTATTATAATTTTCATGACAATGTAACTTAATATTTTTGTCTAAAATAATAGTAAAATATTTTTTGTTTTATTATATAAATAGTTAACTTTTATTAAAATTATTTTTGATAACAATGTTAATATATATATATATATATATATATATATATATATATATATATATATATATATATATATATATATATATATATATATATATATATATATATATATATATATATATATATATATATATATATATATATATATATATATATATATATATATATATATATATATATATATATATATATATATATATATATATATATATATATATATATATATATATATATATATATATATATATATATATATATATATATATATATATATATATATATATATATATATATATATATATATATATATATATATATATATATATATATATATATATATATATATATATATATATATATATATATATATATATATATATATATATATATATATATATATATATATATATTTTAACATTTCAAACTTCTCTTATAGGAATTTATAATTTCTCTCAGTGATTCAACTTTTTTTGCAAAATCTAAAAACTCACTAAAATTTGACCCCTCTTTCTTTCTCTTTATCTATCAATCAATTCTAGCAACATAGAACGGAGGTTTAATTTTTATGAAAAAAGTGATTTAGGATTTAAGAGTTATCAACAACAAAAAGGAAAAGTGATTTAGGGTTTAATTTCTATGACCCCTCTTTCTTTCTCCTTATCTATCAAAACCTTGTAGTTACTCGATTGATCCCACTAAGTATTTGTAGTCTGATTGATCTATTTTATTGAAATTTTCATGGTTTTTGTCATCTAATTCTTACTCTTGTATGTTTTGGTTTCTTCATAAAAGGAAAAGGAAGAACATGAAGAATTGTTTATTTATCTGATCTGATTTTAATCGGAACACCATGAAGCTGTGAAAGTCGTCTTTGAATCCATTTGCAGTACGTTCTTGTCTCTAAAAGGATTGCTACTTCTAGATTTTATGCAACAGAAGAGGAGAATAATATTTCTCAAGACTATGATGGGACTGTATGGTTTTAGGCTCCTCGGTATACCACAAATAATGTCCAACTTTTCAAGAAATTCCCCCAAAGGCTCTCTCCGGGGAAAAGTTATCCTACTTCTATTTCTTAATTTTCATCACCACAGAGTGTGGCACCATTGGCTGATAATAATTTTATGGATGAAGAATTTGATATAGATTTGGAATATTTTAGGATGACTTATCATGGGATATCTGATGAGTTGCTTGTAGACGTCTACAACATAAATGGTGGGGACCTGGATGTTGTTGTTAACATGCTCAACCAACTTGAGGTATAATCTTAACATTGTTAGCTTTGGGGATTTAACTATGTTGTTCATTCAATGGCTTTCTCGTTCAATTTCCTTGTTAATTCATGCATTATAGAATAGATCGGGTCCATTGGAAAATTAGATTTTGCAGAATTTCCTTGTCAATTCATGCATCGTAGATAGATACCCAAAAACAAAATTAATAGACATTCACTACAATAAAAAAGGATATTCACTACAAGTTGCCAGGGTTTGTAAAGGTTTTCTCTTTTTGGATTTGATATGATAACTGATGTTGATATTGAGTTTGTTGCTTTTAAGTGTGTAGAACTTAAGAAATTGTGAATTAAGTGTTATCTTGTGTTTAATGTTGGCATTGTAGCATTACAGGAATGTGATCTCTACATGTCAGTAAGTTATTGTTTTGATAAATATAAACAACTAGAAGTATTATTTTGAGGTC